CAAAACTGTTCTGTGCTATTGGCAGTGATTTAAAAATAAACTAAAAAGTACTCTTCTCCATTTTTAAAAAAATATATTTTTATTGATTTCAGAGGGGAAGATAAGAGGGAGAGAGAGAAACATCAATGAGAGAATCATTGATCGGCTGCCTCCTGCATGCCCCACATTAGGGACTGAGTCTGTAACCCGGGCATGTGCCCTGATCTGGACTTGAACTGTGACCTCCTGGTTTGTAGGCTGATGTTCAACCACTGAGCCATGCCAGCTGGGCCCCTCGTCCATCTTTTTTTAAAAAATATATTTTATTGGCTTTTCACAGAGAGGAAGGGAAAGGGATAAAGTCAGAAACATCGATGAGAGAGAAACATCAATCAGCTGCCTCCTGCATACCTCCTACTGGGGATGTGCCCACAACCAAGGTACATGCCCTTGACCAGAATCGAACCTGGGACCCCTCAGTCCGCAGGTCAACGCTCTATCCACTGAGCCAAACCGGTTTCGGCTCGTCCATCTTTATGTCTGATGTTATATTCAAATAATATTTGGGGAAGAGACCTGAGAAATTAGCCATGGTGGGAACCTGAAGACTGCAACTGGGGGACAGGGAGGAAAGATCTGCCATTCATTGGGTGCCTTTTGCATCTTTTTAATTTTGCCTCAACACAAGCCCTGCTCACTCAAGAAAGTAACACAATTAAGAAAATAAATGAGGAAGTTGAAAACACCCTAGCTGACTTCCAGCGATGTCCTCAGACCACTGGTATATGAGAAAAACAAGATGCACAAGAGCATAGGGAAGATTCTATTTTAAAAACAATTGATTTTTGCCGAAACCGGTTTGGCTCAATGGATAGAGCGTCGGCTTGGGGACTGAAAGATCCCGGGTTCAATTCCGGTCAAGGGCATGTACCTTGGTTGCAGGCATATCCCCAGTAGGGTGTGTGCAAGAGGCAGCTGATCGATGACTCTCTCTCATCGATGTTTCTAACTCTCTATCTCTCTCCCTTCCTTTCTGTACAAAATCAATAAAAAAACAAACAAACAAAAAAAACCAAAACCCAATTGATTTTGCCCTGATTGGCGTGGCTCAGTGATTAGAGTGCTGGCCCATGTACTGAAGAGTCCAAGGTTCAATTTCTGGCCAAGGGCATGTACCTGGGTGGCAGGTTCGAACCCTGGCCCCGGTTAGAGCCCATATGGGAGGCAACCAATTGATGTGTTTCTCTTATAAGAATGTTCTCTCTTTTTCTCCCCGATATCCCAGTCCTTTCCACCCTCTCTTAAAAAAAAAAAAAAAAGAAAAGAAAAATCAATGGGAAAAATATCCTAACAACAAAAAACAATTTATTTTTTATTTTTTATTTATTTATTTTTTATTTTATTGATTTTTCACAGAGAGGAGGAAGGAGGGATAGAGAGCTAGAAACGTCGATGAGAGAGAAACATCGACCAGCTGCCTCTTGCACACCCCCAACCGGGGATGTGCCCGCAACCAAAGTACATGCCCTTGACCGGAATCGAACCTGGGACCTTTCAGTCTGCAGACCGACGCTCTACCACTGAGCCAAACCGGTTTCGGCGACAACAAAAAACAATTTATTTCAATTTTATGATATCATGACAGGTCACTCCCAGGTTCAAATGTGGCAGGATTCATACTAGGCTGGGAGGGCTGGAGAGGCAGGAGGTTTATATGACTAGAGGAGGAAACGGGGGGGGGGGGGGGATCTCACCCCAGGAGGTAAACACCAGTGTTACCTCCCGCTCCTACAGCAGAAAGCCGAACACAGTGCGATGATGTGACTCACCCCAGGTCACACATTTTGGAAGTGACAGAGCCAGCATTCCAATCCAGGTCTATCTCCTTCCTGTGCTCAGCACGTCCTGTCCTTATTCCCGTTTTACTCAAAAGGAAAGTGAGGCTCAGAGGGAAAGATTTGTTCGTGGTCACATAATAGCCAGTGGCCAAAATGTTTCAGAATTAAGCCTCAGCACACCACTGTGAGGAAAGTATTTTACAAGTGCTAACTAAAAAATACAAATTACAGCTCTAGCCGATTTGGCTCAGTGGCTAGAACGTCAGCCCTAAGACTGAAGGGTCTTGGGTTCAATTCTGGTGAAGGGCATGATCCCTAGATTGCCTGTTCATCTTACTCAGGTCTGTTCACTGCTGTCTCTTCAGATGGGGCCTCCCTGCCTCAGTGCTCCACGTTCTCACCTGGCTTTATTTTTCTCCGTAGAACTTACCAATTCCCGTCGGCTTTCCTACCTGTAACAAGCTCCGAGTTTAGGAACCATGTTTGTGTTAGTCACTGGTGTGTCTCCAGAGCCTACAACAGTACCTGGTACAGGGCACAATTTACGAGTATCAAGCCACTGAACCTCTGCAACCACCATGGTTACTGCCACTGTACAGACAAGATAGTCACTTGTCAAAGGTCACGTGGCTGCTAAGAGACAGAGTTCGGACATGAACCCACGAGGAGTGGCTCCTAAGTAGAAGCCCATAACCACCGTATTGTACGGCTGGCGGGGGTTTTAAGGTGATTACTCTCCTGGCTTCTGAGGAACCTGGAATGCAGGGACTGATTCTCCGGGCCTGGACAGACCCCCTCCCAAGGCCCCATGCAAAAGCCTTCACCTGTCAAAAGCCTTCACGCGGCCCAGGAGCTTCTTGTTGTTGCGACAGTTGATGAGCACCTGGGTGTTGTTCTTGACGGACTGCGTGAGCACGGAGAGCGGGCCCGTGTTAAACTCCTCCTCCTCCCGCTTCTGCAGCTCCTCCGGGGTCATCTCACTCTTGGGTTTGTTGAGAAGGCTCCTGAGTGGGCGAGTGGGAAACCCACAGGTGAGAGAGCTCGGAGCGGGAGCATGGGTGGCCACGTTCCCGTGTCTTCCCAGCCTTTCCCCATCTCACCCACCCTCCTCAGGCCTCGCATGGCACCACCGTTTGGATGCCTAGCAGACTTCTAGTCTTGCACACCCTGAGCTCCACAACGCCCAGCCACCTCAACTAACAACCCACAGCCTTCCTCATCTCCATCCATGGCAACACCATCCCACCAGCTCTTTGAGCAAAAACTGATGTGAACTGGATTCTATTCTCTCTCTTACACCCTCCGTTCAACCCGTCAGCAACTCCTGTCATCTGCCTCTAAAATACATCCTGAATCCAACCATCTCTCACCGTGTCCCGAACCCCCACCATCTCTCTCCTAGAGTCTTACTGGTCTCCCTACACTGCCCGAGAATGCTCTTATAGACCCAACACCTAAGTCATGTCAACTTGCTCTTCAAAATCCTCTCAGGGTTCCTATCAGTGTAAAAAGCAAAATCCAACGTTTTGACCAGGCCCTTTCACTCTGTTTCAGCCACAGTGGCCTCCTGGGTGGTTAAAATATTAGGCAGATTTTAATTCCGGGCCTCTGCATTTGCTTTCCCCTCCGCCTGGATGCCTCCCCAGGTATCTCTGTGGTTCGTTCTCTCACTTTCTTTCCATGTGTCCTTCTGCGGTAGTTAAGTTACTGTCTCTCAAAATGGACATCAGGATTGTTTTTATTACTCTGCTCTCTCATTTCTTTACTCATAGCCCTGGTCACCTAACACACCGTATACTTTACCTGTTTATTATTGTTACATTCACCACCTGCCTCTTCCCTCCCCATAAGCTGCAGTAAGAGAACTTTTCCTGGGGAGGGGAATTCACTGATAGACCCCAGGCAGGTAAAGCAATGCCTGATATATGAGCACTAAGTAATTGCTGAGTGGGTACATAGCTAAAAATCACTCCTGTTTCATGATTAGAAAAATGTCACGAATTGGGTCTCCAGCTCCAATTATCCGAACAGTCCCTCGTCTCAAGTCGTAATTCCCACAATTGCGCATTTTCGTAAAATCGCTCCCTCTTAAAATTCACTTCACAGGAAGACTAATGCTTTGGAAAGGCCGCCAGCCCGTTATCTGAGAGCAAGCTGTTCCCTTCTCCGGAACTCGGGAGCCGTCAAAAGCCCCACGCGCGTTCTCAAACTCAAAAGATCAAGGGCCCCACGCGACCCGCCAAAATCTCCGTCTCCGCGCCTCGCTCTGCCCATCCTCTCCCTCCCACCCGTAAAGCGGCCAGATTTACACCCTCCACCCACTCCCGCCGTTTAAGCCTCGCCGGCCTCACATGGTGGCGGTGGTTGCGCTCTCCAAACGCTCCCGTCCTCCGCGTTGCGACGGCCTCCGAAGAGAAAGCGCCAGAGGGGCGGGACTTCCGCTTCCGGCGGCACCACTTCCGTGGGCGCCTGCGCAAACGCAGCCAGCGGTGTGGGTGTGGCCTGTGGTCCCGCGAGCCCGCCTTAGTTCTATTCAGTTCCTTGGTAGAAGCATTGCTTAGTGGTTCAGGGTCATTCAGGGTTAGATGTTCACGGCAACAGGGAGAGGAAGAAGGCGGGCCCGACTTAAACCACGTTGTGGTAGAACGGCTCAGGTGGCAGGAGGGAAAGGGCGCGCCAGTTCTAAATGCCCGCCGGCCCTCTCTTCGGAGGCGCGGTCTCCGAGAAGCCAATCCGCTCTTCTCTTTCAGGGAGAGGCTCCGCCCCTTTCCCTGAGGGGGGGAGGGGGGACCGGTTCGTTTACGTGTCTATTGATCTTTCCGACTCCACGAAACCAAAGCTTTGCCTACATCCGGGAGGGGCGTGGACCTGCGCCCCGGAGGCCGACGGTTTTCCAAGATGACACGCTTCTCATTGGCTCCCCCTGCCACGCTGAGGCGGAGCCTCCCCCTCCCGCGCTCCCTTTAGGGTTGTGTAACTCTCTGGGGAATCGTCGCCTAAGCCCCAGGAAGGCTGAGGGGGCGTGTCCTCAGAACGAGAGTTTCTATTGGCTCCACTGCTCGCGGGAGGGCGGGACGTTGCAGCCGCTCTCGTTGTTGATTGGTCCGGTAATTCCACGGGGTGGGACTTGGCTGGGCCTAAATTCGATCCGCGGACCGGGACCGGCATCTGGGCGAAGCTGCCATGCGTCCGGGCGGCCGCGGGCGGCCCCGGCTACGGCCCGGGGATCGCGGCCTCCTGCAGCCACCTTCCCCGCCCAAACGCCGCCTGCTCCCGCGGGCTCAGCAGCTACCGCTGCTGCTGCTGGCGCTGGCCGTGGCCTCGGCGTTCTACACCATCTGGAGCGGTTGGCACCGCGGGACTGAGGAGCTGCCGCCCGGCCGGGAGCTGCGGGTGAGGCCCGGCGGGGGCACCACGGGGGCCTTCCCTCTCTTTCCTCCCTCTCTCTACCTAAGGTTTCGGGTGGACGTGGCTGTATCACGTCCTGGCTGCAGATGCTGCTGTGGTCTTTAGGACGCATGCCCCTTGTTAATGGAATAAGGTTATCAGGCTTGTTCTGTAATAGTGGCTCCCCTTTAAGAGGAAGGGTCTGGAGTGGTGATCCTGGGATTCCTGGGCTCTAATCCTCAAGTCATCTATTTGGAAGAGTCCCTTCCTCTCGCTGGGCCTCGATTTCCCTTATCAGGATTTGGGTAGGATGGAGGGGATGGGCTTAGAGGGACTTTTCCTGTGATTACGATTTATCCTAGAAATCTCTGATGCTGGAACCTGCAATTAGGAAAAGGAGCCGGGCCTTCTTAGGGGCGACGGCGCCCCGAGTTAGGATCAGAATGGGGGCTGCTGTCACGCTCCGTTCATCTTTTCCCCATCCCACCCCGTTACCCAAGGGCCCACTGATCGCCAGCCTCCCCGAAGCCCGAATGCGGAAGGTGGTGGGGCAACTGGACCCACGGCGTCTCTGGAACACTTACCTGCGCCCCCTGCTGGTTGTGCGAACGCCGGGCAGCCCGGGCAATCTCCAAGTCAGAAAGGTAAAGGGTCACTCACACCTGACCCCTCAGGCCGCTAGGGAATGGGAATAGGCATTCTGCCCAAGACCCAAAGTGAGTGGAGCTAATCTTACTCTAGAGAAACTACCAGGCTGTACTGCCCCCCCCCCCCCAAAAAAAAGCCTACTATGTGCTTGGCACAAGTAACTACAGCCTTATGAAGTGGGTACCAATGTGACCGTCATTATGCAGATGGGGAAACTGAGGCCCAGAGCGGTTGGGCATTTTTTTGCCCACATCCTACAGCTAGTAAAACGGTGTATCTACTGTTTCAATCCAAACAGGTTGGCTCCAGAGCTGGCTGGTCTCTATATTGCCTCCCAGAAAGCAACCCAGAGTCATTTGAACACTGCCCGAGTTCAAATCCCATTTCAGCCCCTTGGAGTGTGACCCCGGAGTAGTTCCCTCAGCTCTCTGAGCCTCAGTTTCCTCAGCTTTGAGTTGAGTCCCTAATGGTCCCTACCCCACAGAGTTCCTAGAGCAGGGCCTGGCACACAGTGGGTGCTTTTGAGGAGTGAGCTGTGTGTGGTTAGTCTTGGCATCAAGAGGTGGGGTCAGCCGAAACCGGTTTGGCTTAGTAGATAGAGCGGATTCAAGGGTCCCGGGTTTGATTCCGATCAAGGGCATGTACCTTGGTTGTGGGCACATTGGGGGTGTGTAGGAGGCAGCTGATCGATGTTCCTATCTCATCGATGTTTCTATCTTTTTTTAATTTTTTTTATATATATATTTTATTGATTTTGTACAGAGAGGAAGGGAGAGAGATAGTTAGAAACATCGATGAGAGTCATCAATCAGCTGCCTCTTGCACACCTCCTACTGGGGATGTGCCCGCAACCAAGGTACATGCCCCAGACCGGAATCGAACCCGGGACCTTTCAGTCCCCAAGCCGACACTCTATCCATTGAGCCAAACCGGTCTCGGCTGATGTTTCTAACTTTCTATCCCTCTCCCTTCCTTTCTGTAAAAAGTCAATAAAATATGTTTAAAAAAAAAAAAAAAAAAGAGGTGAGGTCATTCCATGGCACTTAGTAGGTGCTTAGCAGAAGTGTGAAAGGAATGATTACAACTAAAGTGGGACTTGTGAGGCAACCCGACTGCTCTGCATGGCTCAGGTCACATGGCCCCTTTTTCCTATATACCCCCAGTACCCCCCTCTCTTGCCACTAGTTCCTGGAGGCCACTCTGCGGACCCTGACGGCAGGTTGGCATGTGGAGCTGGACCCCTTCACAGCCTCAACGCCCCTGGGACCGCTGGACTTTGCCAATGTGGTGGCCACACTGGACCCGGGAGCTGCCCGTCACCTCACCCTCGCCTGCCATTATGACTCGAAGCTCTTCCCATCGGAGCCAGCCCCGTTTGTGGGGGCCACGGATTCGGCTGTGCCTTGTGCCCTGCTACTGGAGCTGGCCCAGGCCCTGGATCAGGAACTGAGGAGAACCAAGGATCAGGTGAGGAGTGTGGGGAGGGGAGGGGTGGAGGGCAAGGGGCAACCTCTCCCTTGGTTGAAGCCACCACCCTCCCTTGCCTGGTCTTGTTTTCCTGTCACCACTACACATACAAGGCCACCGGGATCTTTCCAATTCCTGCATGTCAGTTCCTGTCCCTTCTCTGCCCCAAATTCTCCCATGGCCCCTACCTCATTCCGTGCATTCCAGAGAATTCTCATAGCGGCTGGTGAGATGGCCCCATCCCACTACTGGTCTCATCTGCTACCCCTCGCTCATCCTACCTAGCTACCTACTCCTGTGTACCTCAAACCCACAAGAATCACTCCTGGGGAGCATGTGGACTTGCTCTGGCTAGAATGTGCTTTTCTCAGCTATCTTCCTAGCTGGCTCCCATCCTTCATTCAGGTGTCCATTCCGATGTTACCTCTTCAACGAGGCCTTCCCATGATTTGTGGTGCTTATGCTGATTTGTTTGTCTCACACTAGAATAAACTCCATCTAGTCTGCTGCTTTTGTTTCTCCTCTATTCCCTGGGCCCAAGGTATTGCCTGGAACGAAGTAGGATGTCAATTAAAATGAGTGGAAATAGGAAAAAAAAAAAAATGAGTGGAATGAATGAATGAAAACACTGGTTTCCTCATGCTCCTCCTCTGCTGAGACCCCCTTCCCAGTGCCCCAAACCCCACACCCCTTAGCCCTTGCTGACCCCTCAGGCCTCTTCTTAAACTTTCTCCGACCCCTTCTCTGGCCCAGCCCTGGTCCATACTGCTTCCTTGCCTGGGAACACTCTTCCCACTGACCCATTTTGCCAGGCCAGCTCCCACTTGCCCTCAGTACAAACGTCTCTTTCTTTCTTTCTTTTTTAAAAAAATATATTTTATTGATATTTTACAGAGAGGAGGAAGGGAGAGAGAGAGAGCTAGAAACGTCGATGAGAGAGAAACATCAACCAGCTGCCTCTTGCATACCCCCCACCAGGGATGTGCCCGCAACCAGTGTACATGCCTTTGGCCAGAATCGAACCTGGGACCTTTCAGTCCGCAGACCAACGCTCTACCGCTGAGTCAAACCGGTTTTGGCACAAACGTCTCTTTCTAACAGACCGGACATGCCCCCAGACAAATTACCCTCCACACCCTTCCTGCGTTCTTTTGGGACCCCATCATTTTGGGGAGCATTTGTCTCCACCGAATTTCGCTGTTTGTATAATTATTCATTTCTGGGTGTGTCTCTTTTGCTAAACGGGCTAGAGGAATAATGATAATCAGAGCTAACCCTTCAGTGATTACGTGCCAGTTACTGGTTCGAATCCTACTACGCTATACATAGAACTGTTATTAACCCCATTTCTTTCTTTTTCTTTTCTCTCTTTTTTTTTAAACCCCATTTCTACCTGAGGATACTGATGCTTTGAGAAGTTTGTAACTTACCCATGACTGCCAGGAAGCAGCCGAGTCAGGATTTGAACCCAGGCAGTCTGGCTCAGAGTCTAAGCTGTATGAGTGAGGAGACCTAGTATGTCCCATTCAGCTTTGCAAGGGCCAGGAAGTGGGGGTGGGTCGAGGTCAGGGCTGACACTGAGCACCAGCTCCCACAGGCAGCCCCGGTGAGCCTGCAGCTGCTCTTCTTGGACGGCGAAGAGGCGCTGAAGGAGTGGGGACCCACGGACTCGCTCTATGGCTCCCGGCACCTGGCCCGGCTCATGGAGTCTGCGCCCCACAGTCCCGGCCCCACCAGGATCCAGGCTATTGTAAGACCAGGGCCCCCCTGGGTTCGGGGAGGGAGGGGGGGAGGTAAGGTTGGCAGCATCCCACCGGCCTCTCCAGTCCCGGCCTCTCTCCCTAGGAGCTCTTTATGCTCCTTGATCTCCTGGGAGCCCCTCATCCGACCTTCTACAGTCACTTCCCCCGCACAGCCCGCTGGTTCCATCGGCTGAGGAGCATCGGTAAGGGTGACGGGGAGGCAGGTGGGAGGGGAGGGGAGGGGCAGGCACCTGTTTGGAGAGGTCATCCAGCCTTCTCTCTAAGGCACTGATACAAAGAGCAAGACACAAACAGACCCCACAGCAGTCGTGATTATAAACAGGGCATGGGGCCAGGTAGCTGCGGGTTCGAATCTTGGCTCTCCTTACCAGCTGTGTGAACTCGGGCACGTGGCTTCATCCTGAGAGTTTCCTGTCTGTAAAGTGGGCATGATGCTAATGATGATGGGGGACATGGTACACTGCAGGAAGGAGTAACGAACATGCATTCTCACACCGGGATGACCAGTGCGTGACCCTCGGACGCCCCGCCCTCCGCTGTTTTCTGAGCAGAACCTTTGGCCCCTGAGGGGACTGACTTCTGCTCCCTCACCCCCACTCCCTCCAGAGAAGCGCCTGCACCGTTTGAACCTGCTGCAGTCTCACCCCCAGGAAGTGATGTACTTCCAGCCCGGGGAGCCCCCCGGCTCCGTGGAAGATGACCACATCCCCTTCCTCCGCAGAGGTACTTGTGGCAGGGGGACATGAGGGGCGGACGTCCATGGGGGCCACAGAAGGGGCCTGGCCCTGACCCCTTCCCAGGGAGGGGGACTGCTGGCAAGTTGCTTAACCTATTTGTGCCTTGGTTTCCTCTTCTTTGAAATGGGGACAATTGCAGAAACCCGTTTGGCTCAGTGGATAGAGGGTCAGCCTGCGAACTGAAAGGTCCCGTGTTCAATTCCGGTCAAGGGCATGTACCTCGGTTGCAGGCACATCCCCAGATGGTGGCTCAGTGAGTCCAAAATGTGATTGGGTATTCTTCTGAGCTGCCAGGGCATTGAAAGTCAAAAGCTACACCCTAATGGGTTTGGCTCAGTGGATAGAGCCGACGTCTGCGGACTGAAGGGTCCCAGGTTCGATTCCGGTCAAAAGCATGTACTTCAGTTGCAAGCACATACCCAGTAGGGGGTGTGCAGGAGGCAGTTGATCGATGTCTCTCTCTCATCGATGTTTCTAGCTATCTCTCTTCCTCTCTGTAAAAAATCAATAAAATATATTTAAAAAGAAATAAAAAATAAAATAAAATGGGGATAATAGCCCCATCTCAGTTCCTCTCTTATTGAGGGGGTTGAATGTGCTAATACAAAATGTAAAGGCTTTTCTTGGACAAGTGTCTGGCACGTAACAGGCATTTGAGAGATGTGAGCTGTTAATTTTGTGCCTTAGTAATTGCAGTTTCTTCTAGCTCTTGACTTTTTATATATATATATATATATATATATATATATATATATATATATATATATATATTATTGATTTTGTACAGAGAGGAAGGGAGAAGGATAGAGAGCTAGAAACATCGATGAGAGAGAATCATTGATTAGCTGCCTCCTGCACACCACTACTGGGGATGTGCCCACAACCAAGGTACATGCCCTTGACCAGAATCGAACCCGGGACCTTTTAGTCCCCAGACCAATGCTCTATCCACTGAGCCAAACCAGTCAGGGCGACTTATTTTTTAAAAAAAATATATATTTTATTGATTTTTTACAGAGAAGAAGGGACATGGATAGAGTGCTAGAAACATCGATGAGAAACATTGATCAGCTGCCTCCTGCACACTTCCTACTGGGGATGTGCTTGCAACTGAAGTACATGCTCTTGACCGGAATCGAACCTGAGACCCTTCAGTCCGCAGACGTCAGCTCTATCCACTGAGCCAAAAGTTAGGGTGTAGCTTTTGACTTTCAATGCCCTGGCAGCTCAGAATACCCAATCACATTTTGGACCTACTGAGCCACCATCTGGGGCCTCTGGGCTATTTTTGCAGAACTCTCAGGTGACCAGCTGCACAGCGAGGGTGGAAGACATCTGGTCGAGGTTTCCGGATGGTAGGTTTCAGAATTGGTCTGAGCTCTGGGATCTGCACTTAGCACCCGTTCACCTAAGGCAAATTATGTAGCCTCTCTGAGCCCCCGTTTCTTCTAGGAAAATGAAGAGATTTACATATAAAAAACCACATCTATGTGTATATTCATAATCACAGTGTTGGGAGGATGAGATAAGATTAGGAATATGAAATGCCTGCCACCACAGTGCTTGGCATATAGTAAGTGCTAAAAACTGCTTTTAAAATACTTACTCTGTAATTTACTCATTCAACAAATACGCATTCCTTACAACACCTTCTTTTTAAAATTATTTATTTTTTTTAATATATATTAATTTTTTACAGAGAGGAAGGAAGGGAGAGAGCTATACACACCAATGAGAGAGAAACATCGATCAGCTGCCTCCTGCCACTGGGTATGTGCCCGCAACCAAGATACATGCCCTTGACCGGAATCGAACCTGGGACCCTTGAGTCCACAGGCCGATGCTCTATCCACTGAGCCAAACCGGTCAGGGCAACACCTTCTTTTTAAAAAATATATTTTTATTGATTTCAGAGAGGAAGGGAGAGGGAGAAATATAAACAAAATAGAAACGTAAAACATATGGTGAGAGAGAAGCATTGATCCGCTGCCTCTTGCTCAACACGCATTGGGAATCGAGCCCATAACCTGAGCATACCCTTCGATGGGGAATCGAACCGTGACCTCCTGGTTCATAGGTCAACGCTCAACCACTGAACCGTGCCAGCTGGACTATACCATCTTTTTTATTGATTCGTTCAATGAATACTTCCCGAGGCAGGTACTGAGCGAGGTATCAGGGATACAGTGATGCACCAGAATACACCTGCCTCTGGTCTAGTGGTGGGGCCGATATTTAGCAAATCTGGAAAAATGCAGAGAGAAGTGCTCCGAGGACAGGAACCCAATGCAGGACAGTGATTAAGAGCACAGACTCTGGCCCAGCTGGCATGGCTCAGTGGTTGAGCATCAATCTATGAACCAGGAGGCCACAGTTCCATTCCCGGTCAGTGCGCATGCCTGGGTTGTGGGCTCAATCCCCAGTGGGGAACATGCAGGAGGCGGCCGATGTGACTCTCATCATTGATATCCCTCTTCCTTTCTGAAATCAATAAAAAGATTTTTAAAATTGGGGGGGGGGGGGATGTGTGGCTGGAGGGGAGAAGAGCAGTCTCTGGAGACACATGGCCTGGGTTAAAATTTGACTTGTTTACTAGAGGCGGGATCTTAGGCAAATCACTCTGCCTACCTCTGTGCCTCAGTGTCCACATCTGTAAAAGGCTGTAGTTTTGGTGCCCACCTTAAAGGGTTATTATCAGGATAAAATGGTGTGTATTTGTGATGTACGACCTTAGACGAGGGCCAGGAATGGAACAAGTGTTATAAGTGCTAACTATTGGTAAAGAAGAGAAAAAGAGTGGGTAAAGTAAACCTGGTGAGGATACTCAGACACCTGTCCTTTCTCCTGGCCTTTCCATAACGCATTAAATGTTGAGTTTCTCTTCATTTGTGTTATGAAAACAATATACTGGATACATATTTTTAAATATATATTTTATTGATGTTTTATAGAGAGGAAGAGAGAGGTATAGTTAGAAACATCGATGAGAGCCGGGACCGGTTTGGCTCAATGGATAGAGCGTTGGCTTGGGGACTGAAGGGCCCCGGGTTCGATTCCAGTCAAGGGCATGTGCCTTAGTTGCGGGCATATCCCCAGTGGGGGGTGTGCAAGTGGCAGCTGATCGATGACTCTCTCTCATTGATGTTTCTAACTCTATCTCTCTCCCTTCCTCTCTGTGCAAAAATCAATAAAATATATTAAAAAAGAAAAGAAACAATGATGAGAGAGAATCATCGACTAGCTGCCTATTGCACACCCCCTACTGGGGATGTGCCTGCAATCAAAGTACATGCTCTTGACCGGAATCAAACCCGGGACCTTTCTGTCCGCAGGCCGACGCTCTATCCACTGAGCCAAACCGGTTTTGGCTGGATACATATTTTTAAACTAACATGTACCCTCATGCACTTAGAGCGATGGTTCACTGTTCTTCAAGCGCCAGAACAGAGTTAACTTCCAGGGGGAGGAGAGGCCTGGGCCTAGGCTCCTGGGTCAGCCTGGGCCTGAGTCTTCCCTCTGTTCCACAGGGGTCCCGGTGCTCCACCTCATCTCCACACCCTTCCCCTCTGTCTGGCACACCACTGACGACTCGGAGGCCAATCTGCACCCCCCTACGGTACACAACCTGAGCCGCATCCTCGCCGTATTCGTGGCCGAGTACTTGGGGCTCTAGCCTGCAGGGCTGACTGAAGGAAAAGACCCAGCAGGGAATGTGTGTGGCAGGGGCCTTGGGAGCCAGCGGAGCTCAGGCTGGGCCTACCTCTGGTGTGCTGGCTCGTCCTAAGAAATGCCTTTGGCTCTGCTTGTGCTGTTCCTGGAAGACCCTCTCTCCTTTGAGTATCTCAAGCTGCCACTCTTCAGAGACGGAAGAGACCGCTGTGGGTGAGAGCCACAGGAATAAGAGCTTGGGTCCCGCTCCGTGGGTGACATTGGGCTGAAAAAGTTCGCAAGGGCAACTGCAATTCTTGGTTTTAGTCGGCAAAGCATGGACTGGCAGATGGGCCAGCACCGCCACCCAACCCAGTGAGTTCTCTGGCGCTGTTTTGGGGGCAGTTCATTCTCCAGAGTGGCAGCCTCGTTACTGCACGGGTCCAAACCCGGAGCCCACGTGGATGTGCTCGCAAGCAGGAGCAGGAGATGGAAGCCAATACTCGGGAACTCCAGGTTCTGCAGACCCAACAGGCAATAATCTGGTGCTTCTGCCACACATTCTGCAGAACGACCATAATAGGTGTTGCATGAAAAAAGGGACCAAGGAAGGAGAGTGAGACACGAAATGAGTTCATTGCACAATGTGAATTTTCAATGGTAAGGCAGTGCATTGTTTTCCCAAGTATTTCACCATGGAACCCCTTTTTTGGGGAAGCACCTCACAGAACTAGGTACCTCAGAAGATACTTTGGGAAACACTGGTATGTTTACGGAAGGAATAAGGCAGGCCAGAAGTCACTGCAAACTAGTTATACCAAACCATCCTGTCTCTCTTATGAGTACAGGAGTGCGAGATGGTGGGTGTAACTCCAACTCGAGTGAATTTTCAGACTCCACTGGAGTACTTATTAAAAAGGCAGGCAGACTACGTACGCCCTGGCTAGTGTCGCTGAGTGATTAGCATTGGCCTGCACACCATAGGGTCTTGGGTTCAATTCCTGGTCAAGGGCACATACCAGAACCCTTTCAGTGCACGGGATGCCATCCAACCACGCCACACAAGCCAGGGCCTAGTTTTGTGACTGATGGAGACCTGGTAGATAGAGACATCAGGCCAGTTTGGAGGGTTATTAGGTAGTAAAGGTGAGCATTGATTGGCCTGAGTCAACGCAAGGCTGAAGATTCAAGAATTCATGAGCTTAAACTTATGATATCAAATACGAGGATAAAGAGAAGGTTCTTGATTCACATTCTGCCAGTCACTGACATTTATTGGGCTCCTACCACAGGCCAGGCACCAAGAGCACTTTATATATATAGCAACTCAGTTTTCCAAACCATGAGGTAGGTATGATTTCGGTTCTCATTTTGCAAATGATGGGGTTGCGTCTGAAAGTTATGAACCAGTTGTTTACAGATTCTTACACGGGGCCATGCTCCCAACCCATGTCCTACTTCCCTTCCAAGCCACCCATTTGGGACCAACTGATTGTTAATAAAAAGTAGTTCCTCCTGCCAAAACCGGCTTGGCTCAGTGGATAGAACGTCGGCTTGCGGACTGAAAGGTCCCAGGTTCGATTCCGGTCAAGGGCATGTATCTTGGTTGTGGGCACATCCCCAGTAGGGGGTGTGCAAGAGGCAGCTGATCGATGATTCTCTCTCATTGATGTTTCTAACTCTATCCTTCTCTCTTCCTCTCTGTAAAAAAATCAATAAAATATATTTTTAAAAAATAGCTCCTTCTGAGACTTAATTGGGTGCAAGTTAGAGTGGGTGGATGGACGGACTAATAACCTCTTAGAGGTGGAACTGGCAGAAGTCCAGAGTTCAGAAAGGGAAATAGACAACAGCCAGAGGTCTCAGACCACATGGAGATCCGGTTTGCTCATTTCTTGTGGGCCACCACGTCCCCTTAGCCTCACAGCCATCCAGAGGTCACAGCCATCTCCATATGAGGGGAAGCAGTTACATCCCCGGCCTGTTTCCCTACTAGACACTTTGGTTGAGTGTACCATGCGCCAGGCACTGGGCAAGGAGCCTGACGAACAGTTTTTGCATGAATCCGGGACAAGTACAGTGAGCTCCATTTTACAGATAAGGCTGCTGCTGCTGCTGCTGCTGCTGCTGGGCAAGAAGTTCCTTTCCCCAGTTCCATGCGTCCCCCAAACTCTGGATCCCCAACCTCAGGCTCTGAAGGGGCCACGAGGTATATATTTTTTTTAATATATTTTATTGATTTTACACAGAGAGGAATTGAGAGGGACAGAGAGTTAGAAACGTCGATGAGAAACATCGACCAGCTGCTTCTTGCACACCCCCCACTGGGGATGTGCCCGCAACATGCCCTTGATCAGAATCGAACCCGGGACCTTTCAGTCCGCAGGCCGACCCTCTATCCACTGAGCCAAACCGATCCTGGCAATGAGGTCTATTCTTTTTTTTTTTTTTAAATATATTTTATTGATTTTGTACAGAGAGGAAGGGAGAGAGATAGTTAGAAACATCGATGAGAGAGTCATCAATCAGCTGCCTCTTGCACACCCCCTACTGGAGATGTGCCCGCAACCAAGGTACATGACCTTGACCGGAATCGAACTCGGGACCCTTCGGTTCCCAAGCCGACGCTCTATCCATTGAGCCAAACCGGTCCTGGCGAGGTCTATTCTTGTAAGCAGTTGTTGAGCGCTCTGGACGAGACGTATCACACCAATCTTTTGAGGAATTATCAGTATTCTCATTTTTCATTTTAAGAGAGATTCAGAGAAATCCTTTGCTGAAGATCACTGCAGTGTGTCTAGAGGTAATTTCTTTTTCTTTTTTACACCAACCGACTTATATGGTTACTCTTCCTCTTTTTTTCTTTTACATTTCTTTTTATTCATCCTGTTTGACTGGTTGGGCTTATTGGTTTTTTACCAGCTTGGAATAAAGAACATCTTTAAATGTCTTTGTACCGTCCTTGCTTCTGATTCTGTAATGCTAATTAAATATTTTCTCACTCTATCCTCTGTAACTTTTCTTTAAAATAAAAATGACTATATTGATTCCAGAGAGGAAAGGAGAGGGAGGGAGATAGAAACATCTATGAGAGAACCACACCCCACACTGCAACCTGATGATGTGCCCTGACCAGAAATCAAACTACAACTTCCTGGCTCATAGGTCAATGCCCAACCACTGGACCACACCAGCCAGGCTAAACTATTGTCTGCTACTTTGTGGGCTTATTTCTGGTTTAATAAATCTTCAGTTGTGTCTAATTTGCTGTTGAGCCACACTTGGGTTTTTACTTTTGGTTATATGTTTGAGGGGTATTTTCTTTCATATCTGCTAGGCTATTATTTAACTAAGTTCCTTGCATATATTTGCAAGCTCTTGTATTCTCATCTGTGATGGAGTCTCATCATCTGAAGCCTGTTTTTGCTCTGTTGCTTCTTGCCCACGCTGGTGTATTTCCATGCATATTTGGTCATTTGACTATACAACTCATTGTCTGAAAATCACGTGTGGGGGACTCTGGGTGACGGTTCCTGACACCAGAGGATGTGTGTGTGTTTCTGCCAGACACCTCAGCCAGAAGTACCCTGGGAAACATCACTGATGCAAACCTACCTGCAAACCCACGCCAGAGCCAGCCTACGACCGCCGATCCTCCAGTCCACCTTTTTCTTTCTTTGGTCTTGTGCTCCCCTCAGCGTTCAGAACATCTGCAATCTTCTGGGTCATCCTTACCTCAGCCTCTGGTTCAGTGGGACCTCAGCTATTAGATTTGTCGCCTTGGCAGGCTTTGGCCTTGACTGCTGCCTGCCCCAATAAGGCTACAAATAGGAAACCCATTTGTCCACATCAGCAAATGCCCTCAGAGCAAAAAGTGGCTTCAGGGCCCCAATGTACCCTTCCTTTAAATTTATGGCTTAGTGTATCCTGAGCTGTATTTTATTGGCTATTTGATATTTAACTTATATTTTCAGCAGCAGCAGAGTCCCAATAGTCTGGTCTTCCCTCCACAGGGAACAGAAGTCCCATAAAACCAAGCCAAGATTCAAACCCAGGTCTCTTTTATTCTAAAATCTAAGCATTGCTGGGAGCGGCCAGGCCCGGGGGAGCAGGCGGGTCGGGTGCGGCCAGGCCCGGAGCAGCGGCTGCCAGGCTGGGAGCGGCCAGGCCCGGGGGAGCAGGCGGGGCTGGTGCGGCCAGGCCCGGAGCAGCGGCTGCCAGGCTGGGAGCGGCCAGGCCCGGGGGAGCAGGCGGGGCTGGTGTGGCCAGGCCCGGAGCAGCGGCTGCCAGGCTGGGAGCGGCCAGGCCCGGGGGAGCAGGCGGGTCGGGTGCGGCCAGGCCCGGAGCAGCGGCTGCCAGGCTGGGAGCGGCCAGGCCCGGGGGAGCAGGCGGGTCGGGTGCGGCCAGGCCCGGAGCAGCGGCTGCCAGGCTGGGAGCGGCCAGGCCCGGGGGAGCAGGCGGGTCCGGTGCGGCCAGGCCCGGAGCAGCGGCTGCCAGGCTGGGAGCGGCCAGGCCCGGGGGAGCAGCAGCCAAGTCCAGAGCAACTAGGTCGGGAGCGGCAGTGACCAGACCCGGAGCAGCTGGTTGTGGAATGAACCAGAGCAACAGAGGCCAGGCCCTGAGCAGCCAGGCCCAGAACAGCTCGCTCCTTGCCTGCCCCTGCCCCAAGGCTGCTTCTCAGACATGGCTGGAAACTTTCGTGGGAACTTGAGTGTCTGCTGAATCAAGTGATGAAGGCTTAGATCTGGATGTGTTGAGTTAGTTTAGGACTGGGGTGTTGATCTGTGAGTGCCTTGGGTGGGGCCTGGATGAGGCTGGTTGACCTAGTGGGAAATGTCTTTTGTGTGAAGTGTATCATTGGGCATGTGGAGGTATTATTGATATGAGAAAATGCTAAGTAACTGATTTACTATCTGAAAAGGGATTTACTATTGGGGAAATTGAGGGAAGAAGAGACTGAACATAAACTGCACCTATGGATGAGGACAATGGGGGATGGGGGGGGACGGAGGGTGGGGTGGGAACCTGGTGGAGGGGGGAAGAAATGAGGAACCTTTGTAATAATATGAACAATAAAGATTGCTTTAAAAAAAAAAAAATAAAAAATAAAATCTAAGCATTGAATAACTTCTATGGATATATCCTATTTTCTCTGGACATTTGATTCCCCGATAAGAATATCAAAGAAAGAAAGAAAAAATAAAAAAACAATATCAAAGAATGTTAGCTGCCTCTCAAAATCCATTTTCCCTCTTCTTTTATACTTTAATTTCTTAAATGTCTCAATCCCTTTTTATTTAGTAAATAAGTGAATATTTTAAAACTTTCATTATAGGGTTCTTTAGTAAGAGTTCTTTTGTTGGGCATAACGCATCCAGGCTAAAAGACTACATTTCCCAGTCTCCTTTGCAGCCCAGTCTCTTTCCATTTGGCTAGGTTCTGACCAGTGAGAAGCAAATGACCTTGAATGAAATGCTGTTAATTTGAGGACCTACTGTATAGTGTAGTGCTCCCAGGAGGAAGGGGGCTTCCCTCCCTGCAAAATGGTGATGGCTGGAGTTCCAGCAGTGGCGTTGGACCATGGGTTCCTGATGACTTGGATTTCTAAATAAAAGCTATCTTGTTTAAGCTACTACTATTTTTGAGATTTGAGTCCAAACTGACACAGATGAAGAATCAAAAATAATTTCATGCTAAGGGACTTGGCTAAGGATCCTTTTCTCAGCTTTTCCCATCTCACCATGCTCGGACCCAGGACTCCCTTCTCTCCCAAACCCCCTTCCCTGAACAATATACAAACCAGTCTGTGCTCAGCCTTATAAATACGGATTTTATAGAAAGGACCAATTCAGAACTGGTCAGATGCCACACGCCAGAAGCTTCCAGAACCACAGGGATGAAAAAACAAGAACAACAACAACAAAAAACAAAGCCCAAACGGAACGAACAAAAACACCCCAGACCCAACTGCCTGAAGAATCAAGGTCTCAGTTAACCAAGGCTTTTTCTAAAGAAACACATGGCTCAGGGTGGAGACCCTGAAGCCCGAACAAGTACCCAGAGCAGAAGGAAAACAACCAAATTCAAACCCACAGTCCCTGCCTGCTGGCCCCCCACGCTGTCAAGAGCGAGGCAAAGGGCTTCACAGCTTTTTTTTTTTTTTTAAGCGGTGGTGATGGTAAATAGCTTAAATAACGGGAGGAGGGAAATTTTTAGAGTTCAATTTCCTTTTTCCTTCCCCTTTGGGGGAAGTGGAGAGATTACTTGCTTGAGGTTAAGGAGAAAAACTGATTTTTATTGTTTTAGTGGGGAAAACATGTAGAAATGGCAGGCTGCCATGAGACGTACCCAGTCTGATCTGTGATCCAACGGCCCCCAATTCCTAAAGAGGTGGTAAGCCCTGGCACGGGTTAGGAGGTGCCAGCCTTGGGTGCTGCAGCCTCTTGGGAGAGAGAACACAGCTCCAGAGAAAGAGAATGGGGGTGGGTGGCTAGGGGGGAGCAGAAGGGGGCCAGGATGGGGGAACCCTTAAGTAGTACCAAAATTAGCTGCCGTCTGCTCCCTGCTGGTGGGTCCCTGGGGTGGAGGAGAGTGGCAGAAAGGGTGCTAGGGCTGAATGGAGAAGGAACTTGAGATGCTAGTAAAAAAAAAAAAACACCCTCCACGAGGGTCCCTGGCCCTGGGTCTTAAGAATAGAAAACCGATAGGGGTCAGTCAGTCAGTCAGAGTGCTTTCTTAGGTCACCCCCCTGAGCCGCGGCTCAGTCTGGGAGGGGGATGACGCCGCCCGGACTGGGGGTAGGTAGCGCTGGTGACCAGGTCCTGGCGCTCGGCACCCACGGAGAGGGGTGGGCGTGGTGGGCTGCCCCCCTCCCCTGGCTTCACCTCCCCTCCTCCCGGCCAGCCCGGCCCCCGCCCCCGCCAGGCCCATTGCAGGGCAGCACCCAGTTGTTATCGTGCAGACCCAGGCGGCAGCCAGGCGTCTCCCGATCGGCTCGGCGGCAGCACATCCAGTAGGAGCGTCCGTAAGGCAGGTCATGGTGGTAGGGCTTGGGGTGCCAGCGGCAGAGGGACACGTCGCCCTTCTCGTACCTCTTGCGGCACTGCTTACAAGGGTCATCGCGGTACAGGGGGTCTCGGCTCCAGCGCGAGTCCGTGGCCCGAACGCCAAACGCTTCGATGATGCCCTTGAAGTGGTGGCAGGTGCACTTGAGGGCGGCCAGGGCCCGGGTGGGCAGGAAGCTGAAGATCTTGACCAGCACGTGCTCGGGAAGCAGAAGCATGTACTGCCGCGGCTCCAGCAGTCTCTGGATCTTGAAGCGGATTTCCAGGAAGTCGTGCGACACGTGCCGGTACAGGCGGCACAGGGAGGTGTCTGCCGTGCCCTCAGCGTCCTCCGGGCCTGGGGCAGTGGCCGGCGAGTCCGCTGGGGGTGGCTCGGGAGGCCCGTCCGGCCCCCGGGACTGGAGGAAGAAGAGCTGGCCGGGTGGGGGCGGCTCCTCAGGACTGACCGTCAGGCACACCGTCTCCTCCTTCACATTCTTGGTACCGTCCTTGCCGAAGAAGATGCACTCGTCCACCACGCCCGTCACCACCACGTCCACGTGGAAGCCGGATGCTCCGCAGTCCCGGGCGGGGGGTGGAGGGGGTGCCGGGGGAGTGTCCTCGGGCCTGGCAGGGGCCGGGGCCTCCCCCTCGCTGGCTTCGTCCGCCCTGGCCAGAAGGAACTCCACGTTGCTAGGGAGGGCGTCCCGAGAGGGGCTGATGAGCTGGTACAGGTCACAGGTAATCTTGTCCTTGGCTCGGGCCCCCGGTCCTGGGCTGCCCGGGTAGGCACAGCCCGGCCGGCCCCCACTCCCGCTGGGCAAGCTGCCGTCTGGCGCACGGGGCTCTCGGCCGCTGGAGATCCGGAAGGCGATGCGTACCTCCCCGGGGCCTGGCCCGGGCCTCTCCTCCTTGCGGAGGCCCTTGGCCGGAGGGTTGTCCCGCTGGGCCTCGAAATGAGCCACCGCCTCGGCCACACGGCTGCAGTCCCCGCCACCAGACCGCCGTTGGGGCCCCAGCCCCTCGGCGGAGCCGCCCTGCTCTGCCGACACAAAGACCACGGGCGCCGGGGGGCCGGGGTGCGGGTAGTTCTGCAGGGCCAGGGCCGCCCGCTGTTCCACCAGGGCCACCATCTCAGCCACGGAGAGCAGGTCCACGTCCTCGGTGGCTGCGGCCGGGGCCCCCTGAGCGGCAGGGGGCCCCTCCCGGCCCCCCGGGTCCGGGGGAGCTCTCGTAGGCTCGAGACAGCGCCTCCTCCGCTTGGCCTTGGAGCTGTCGCTGCCCCAGTGCCCCTTGACCTTCATGGAGCTGGCCCGGCTGCCGCCGCCGCCGCCGCACTGGTGGGCCACGAAGAAGGCCACCTTCTCCTTCGTATTCCCGGGCTTGATAACGTACCACGTGTCCAGCAGGACTCGGCCCTCATCGCCGGCAGCTGCTGCCGAGAGGAGGGGGGCAGGCTGGGAGGAAGGGGCCTCCGTGGCCGAGGCGGGCGGTGTGTTCTCGGAGTGGGCGGGCCCGTGGTCCGGCTCAGCCCTGCTGCCCGACTCGGAACAGGCTGGCGGCTTGAGGGCTGTGGAAGGCGGGCGCGGCTGGTTCTGGGAGTAGGTGCCAAAGGGCCGAGGGCACCACAGCTGGAAGGGCAGGAGGCCGCCACGGTCCATTCTGGGGGATGGTGGCCGACGGGCGGGGATCACTGCATCTCAGGACCCGGATGGTGGCGGCATGCTCCACGGGCCACCTGGACACGGGAAAGAGGAGGATGGGAAGCTGGAAGCGCCTGCCCTCCCGGTGCCACCCTGACCTCAACCCGTCCTGCTGAAACTGACCAAATCGGACCGCCAGGAACTCTGTTCCTGCCCCCCCCCCCGGCACCGGTGAGCGGACGGAGGGCCGCCGAGGGGACGGGACCTCTCTTTTAACACCGTGAGCGTGAACGGAGGAGGCAGCTTGCTCCAGCCCTATAGAGGCCTCCTGCTGTCATGCTCTTAACCTTCAGTGAAAATATCATCTGACAGACAGCTCCTCCTTTTCCTATTTGGTCATCCAGGAGCCAGTTCCTGAAAAGACAAGAATCCCCAGCCCTGCCCACCGCTATCGACTCAAACCCACAGAAGGGGCGAGGTGGGTTGGGAAGGAGGAATCTGAGGCCAAGCCTGAAAGGCCCTTAAGAAACTGGCTTCTGCCGAAACCGGTTTGGCTCAGTGGATAAAGCGCCGGCCTGCGGACTGAAGGGTCCCAGGTTCGATTCTGGTCAAGGGCATGTACATTGGTTGCAGGCACATCCCCGGTAGGGGGTGTGCAGGAGGCAGCTGACCGATGTTTTTCTCTCATCAATGTTTCTAGCTCTCTATCCCTCTCCCTTCCTCTCTGTAAAAAATCAATAAAATCAATAAAATAAAATAAAAAAATAAACTGGCTCCTCCCTTTGTTCAGCTCATGGGGCCCCTTAAGGATTTCTTTTCTTTTTTAAAATATATTTTATTGATTTTTTTTACAGAGAGGAAGGGAGAGAGATAGAGAGTGAGAAACATCAATGAGAGAGAAACATCCATCAGCTGCCTCCTGCACACCCTCTACTGGGGATGTGCCCATAACCAAGGTACATGCCCTTGACTGGAATCGAACCTGGGACCATTGAGTCCGCAGGCCGACGCTCTATCCACTGAGCCAAACCAGCCAAGGCCAGGCTCTCTTAATAATGACCATTTTATTTTGAAAAGATTTTGTGTGCATGATCTAATCTCGAGGCAAATCTGCTTATGAGTCAGACATGACCACTTTTCACTGCAGGAACAACAGGTAGCATATTCCTGTCTCAGTCTTTCCCTGACCCATCTGTTTCCAGACATTCTGAAACCAAAATACCTTCCAAACCTCAAACCTTCCACGTCTATAGACCAGAGGTCAGCAAACTACGCATGGCCCGTGGGCCAAGGTTGACCTACAGCCTGTGTTTGCAAATAGTTTTATTAAAACATGCTTATTTGTTTATGGCTGCTTTCCTGCTACAATGGAAGAGTTGAGTAATTGCAACAGAGAACACAGGGTCTCGCAAAGCCTACAACATTCATTATCTGGATCTTTATGGAAAAAGTTTGCTGATCCTTGAAGCACAGACTATCCTTGTAAATACAGGCAATTCCACAAATACCACTAAAACCCCATCTTTCATGATCCATTCAATACCGACAGCCTCCAAACACCCACAGACGCGTCACAAAGACAGTTCCAATCCTAAAAATTTTTACCGCTGCCGAGACCGGTTTGGCTCAGTGGATAGAGCGTCGGCTTGGGGACTGAAGGGTCCCGGGTTCGATTCTGGTCAGGGGCATGTACCTTGGTTGCGGGCACATCCCCAGTGGGGGGTGTGCAAGAGGCAGCTGATCGATGACTCTCTCTCATCGATGTTTCTAGCTCTCTATCTCTCTCCCTTCCTCTCTGTACAAAATCAATAAGATATATTTAAAAAAAATTTTTACTGCTGTTATCCCTAATCTCACCTACCATAAAAATTCTAACAGCCTTGCTGCAATTCCAGTTCCTTACAAAAAAAAAAAAAAAAAGTTACACACAGCCCCAAAGACCTATAGATGCCTAAGTTTACTAACCACCAATACATCTAAATGCCCAGGAATGGACATTAACACAGCAAAGGTGCTATCCTTCTCAACTTAACCACCCCCAAAATCCTCCAATCAGTTCCTATCCTCATATCCAGAATATTAATGCTCCCAAAATATACAGACCTTTCCAAACTCTACTTTAAACTTCCCAATGTATAAATATCCCCTCCAGCACAGAAGACCCAATCTCAAGAAACCCCTCAGAAATCCTAGCCTACCAAGAACTCAACACAGTAATTCCCCAAACTCACAGATGCCCGACAAGTTTTCTGAAATCCCATACTCATTCCAAACTCTTTCTAAACCTTCACGTTATTCCCTAACTATACAGAAGCCTCCAAAATTGCAAAATAAGCCAAAACCGGTTTGGCTCAGTGGTAGAGCATCGGTCTGTGGACTGAAAGGTCCCAGGTTTGATTCTGGTCAAGGGCATGTACATTGGTTGCAGGCACATCCCCAGTAGGAGGTGTGTAGGAGGCAGCTGGTCAATGTTTCTCTCTCATCAACGTTTCTGGCTCTCTATCTCTCTCCCTTCCTCTCTATAAAAAATCAATAAAATACATATTTTGCCGAGACCGGTTTGGCTCAATGGAAAGAGCGTCGGCTTGGGGACTGAAGGGACCCGGGTTCAATTCTGGTCAAGGGCATGTACCTTAGTTGCGGGCATATCCCCAGTAGGGGGGTGTGCAAGAGGCAGCTGATCGATGACTCTCTCTCATCGATGTTTCTAACTCTCTATCTCTCTCACTTCCTCTCTGCACAAAATCAATAAAATATATTAAAAAAATAAAATAAAATACATATTTTTAAAAATTTATTTTAAAAAATTGCAAAATAACTCACTAACACATAAATGCTCCCTAATACATAAAAGTAACCAAACCATACTTTTCATCAAAGGACCCCCCCCCCCCCAAGAAACCTACAAATGTTTTAATAGCAGCCACGTGCTTACTGCAGGTCACTGGGAACTAGTTAGGTACTGTTCTAACAATTCCTGCTAATCCTCCTGGTCCCCAAAAAGCAGGCAGTGCATCAGTCCCTGCGTCCAGATGAGGCACAGAAAGGATAAATCCCGAATCTAAGCCATATAGGCAGGAAGAGGTAGGGACGATAGGCAAGTGCCCACGGGTTCTTCCTCCAGAATTGGAACTCCTGTATTCTTTTTTTTTTTTTAATATATTAATAATGATATTTAAAATGTATTGTTCCTCCCTCTATACATTCATCACATATATAATCGCATATACACTTTCCACCGTACTGTTTCATCCTTGCAGTAGTGCAGTTGTCACAACTAGGGATCAATTCAGATGACAACTTTGAGGTTCAGAGATACCCAGAACTTGTCCCATTGCACAAGATAATAGATAGAACAGACAAAACTAAATTTTCTGTCTCCAATTGCCCATCTGATAAATATCTAACACTCTTTCCTGATACTTCAGAAGGATGAGCACAGAAGTCCTGGGGTCTTTACCAAGTGTACAGCTAAATTATATCTTTTTTTTTTTTTTTTAACTTTTTTGGAACTCCTGTATGTGTGTGTGTGTGTGTGTGTGTGTGTGTGTGTGTATATATATATATATATATATATATATATATATATATATATTTTTTTTTTTTTAGATTCATCAAGCTGGAAGCTAGGTGGAACTCCTGTATTCTTTACTTTGCTTCTAAGTCTCTCCGTGAGCTCCTCAAAGCATATATCCACCAAACATCCCAAACCACAAAAGAGGCCCCTACAACACAAGGAACCTGTCACGTTATAAAAGAAACCCAAACCCCAAGGCACCCTCTAAACTCCAGGGAACCCCAAGTATTCCCCAAAACCCAGCTTACACTTGCCCAAGGCCCAGCTTACACTTGCCCAAGGCCCAAAATATCGCTTCAATACAAAGGGAATCTCCCAATTTTGTAACTACGCCCCCCCCCACCACCAAATTCGCCAACCCCCTGAGATGACCCTCAAAAGCTAGACACGCCCCCAAAGCACCCTCACCCGCGAGCCCCGCCCCCTGCGGCGGGACAAGGTGGACGCCCACACGCATGCGTACAAGGAGGAACGGGCCCGCCCACTCACTCCTTTCCCCGGCAGCACGAATAGTTTCCCTCCGCCCCTTTGTTGACAGAATCGCGCGTGACGTCCCCAGCCAATGAGCGGCTGCCGTTCGGGGCCGTGCCCATATAAGGAAGGCCTTGGCCGAGGGGCCCAACTTCGAAAGAGGGAGGAGTAGGCGAGGGGTGACGGAGGAGGTGTGGAAACAGCGGCGAGTAAGAGAACGAGGAACAATTCCTAACTTCCTGCTAAACGGAGGAACAGGGCCAGGGCCTCCGCATTCCAGGAGAGGTTTATTACAGGACGGTCCCTTTAAACAGGAGCCCTGACTGACAGCTGAGATTTAAAGGGCCCAGACAGCTCTGAGATTGGGACTCCAGGGCGGAAGCAGGCAAGCTTTGCTTGGGAACCATGAGGGCCAAGATTTGGGACTGCGGGATCACCTCACCCTAAAAACCCAATAACAACTCTGCGACGGCTACAACCAGCCTAAACCCCTGGGCTTGGCCTTCAGGGCTCAGGCCCCGTATCCAAAAGAACCTCTCCTTCCAGCCTTTCCAACGAGGCACCCCAAATCTGGCGCAGACTTAGTTATAAAAAGAATATTGAACACCTCAGCAATGACTTTTAAATACTGATTACCTGTTAAAATACTTATATCATTTAGTTAAATAAAATACTAAATCTCTTTTTTGACCTTTTCAATGTGGCTAATAGAAGGTTTTTTAATTACACATATGGCTTGCATTATTAGTATTTCTATTGAACAGCGCTGGTATAGATCCTTTTAATGCCGGGCTGATTGAAGAGGCACCCAAAGGTGCCTCCACTGCAGGTGCCTGTCCAGGCATCACTGATTCCCCCACCACATTGCTCCAGCCTCACCTGCTTCCAGCCATCTCACACATCGCAGCTAGAAGGGGCTGGCACAAACCTGACCATGTCCCTACCCAGTTCAAAACATGCCAAGACTCCT